GGAATGGAAAGGAAGAAGGAAGAATTTTTTTGAGTGTTACACAGCAACATTTTCTTTGGCAATATCACCACAAAAATCACTGTGCATTTAGCAGATAGGAATCTACACATTCCTTAGATTATTTTAGACAACCTAGAGCAGGGCAACCCATTAATTTTTTTTGTCATTAACTAATAAACACTGGCTATCCCAAATCACAATTTGCTTGCGAATGTCTTTAGCCCAAATGAATATGCATTATATAATACAATTCCATTTATGACTTGAAGTAATGATTTCATAGGAACCATTGTATATATTTCTTTATGAATTATTCCATGAGAGCTAATCTGGCCTTTTCTTTGGGACCTAATGTTTTCACGAATTATACAATATAAATTCTTTGTATGGATTCTGCCTTTAGATTTCCTTTGCTTGGAATTGAAATCATTTATTTATTTTCCTCAGCATATTATATTCCATAAAGTACCAGAGGCCCTCAAAGTGTACTAATGAGTTCTTATTCTAATTAACTGTTTTACATTTTTAAACGTTTCTTCTTTGCTGCTATAAAAAAGAAGATTAGTGAAGGAAACAAAAGTCATTATCAATACTCTTTTATTTGCTTCTACTGTGCATATTGTTTGAGACAATTTCAGTATGCTTTTTGGTGGGGATGTGGATCAATTAAATGGAATAAAATGTCTCATCAGTAATTTGAAACTCTTCAAAAACAGCAAATTTTTGAAGCAAATCCTTAGATTAAATAGCAAATCCTTAGATTAAATTTCAGGGAATATGTCTTCTATTTTAGTAAAATTAGACCTGAGGATAATGAAGCCTCATCTCTTCCAAAATGCTATTTAAATTTTATAATATTAAGTGTAATGGAAAATATCACAAAGTGAAAGGGACTTAATTTTAATAAGAGAAAACTCATAAATATCAAAATTAAACTTTATGTTATTTAAAGGGTGAATGTCTTCATTCAATGATCCATATGTATAAATTGTTCAGATAAACACTAAGACTCCAGAAGAAAAAAATGAGCAAAGAACATCAAAAGGCAACTTTCAAAATGGAAATCAAAATGACAAATGAATATATAAAAAAATCTGACTCACTAAACTAATATAATTCAAACAAATGACATTTTTCCCATAAAATTAACAAGTATGAAAACAGATAATACACAGAGTTAGAAAGAATGCAGTAAAATAGACTTTGAGGTACACTGGTAGGAGGATAGTTCAGTAAAATACTTTTGAGTAGGTAATTGTCAATTATTTACAATGAGTCTTAAAATTGTTCATATGATTTGATTACACCTAGATATTTATCTTAAGGAATGACTCCCAGATAAAGATGAGAGTAAATTTTATGGAGATGATTATAGGGAATTATTTATAATAGGAAAAACACAGAGATAGCATAATATACAACATTAAGATAAAGAGTTAAATGATGGAAGTCATATTAATATTAAAATTGTTTAGTATAAAGTTAAATAAAAAATAGGATGCATTTGAATATACAGCATAATCAGACATGTTTCATTTGTATGTACATGAAGAAAATATGCAAAAAAATGCAAAAATATTAAAACTTTTCAGTCATGAAATTATGAAAGTACTTATTTTTATATTGAATTATCTTATAATATAAAAATATAAATAGCAAATATCAAAATCATAAAAATATACATTTTTAGAGGAGAGGAATATAATTTTCATTGTTAACATTTAAGTTTCCAGGGTGTAGGGAGCCTATGGAAACTTCTTGACTGAAGTAATCCATTATTGTTAGTTGTAGCTTGGTCCAAATCAGTCATTTTTCTTCTAACCCCAAGTTCTTCATTGACCAGAATTTCTATTATCTATGATTGCATTTAAGTTTCTTTTAACTATGAATCCTTTTGCCATCTTTAGGCAAACTGAAATTCTTAATTCCATTTTTATGGTAAGTTCCCTATTTTCCTGATTCTATTTTTGGACTTCAACCATCATGACAGCATTAGATTCCATAGTACAATTATTAAGAAATAGAGTTAACCCTTGAAGAACATTGGTTTGAACAACATGAGTTCACTTATTGTGAATTTTCTTCTGCTTCTGCCACTCCTGAGACAGCAAGACCAACCTAATCTCTTTCTCCTCCTTTCAGCTTACTCAACATGAAGACAACAGGGATGAAGACCTTTATGATGATCCACTTCCACTGAATGAATAGTAAATATATTTTCTTTTCCTTAGGATTTCCTTAACAACATTTTCTTTTCTATAGCTTACTTTATTCTAAGAATACATTATATAATCTATATGTCAAATATAAAATATATGTTAATTGACTATGTATGTTATTGATAAGGCTTCTAGTCAACAGTAGGCTGTTAGTAGTTACATTTTTGGGAAGTCAAAAATTTATGTGTGGATTTTTGATTGCACAGGGTTTGGCTCCCCTAACCTTTGCATTGTTCAAGGGTCAACTGTAGTCTGTTGCACAGAAATTACACAGAATGATATCTAGAACAAAGATCGATACCAGAAGGTGAATGATACTATAACACAAACCTAAAACACACAGTACTAGTTTTAAGATAAGGTGGCCAGTGAGGCCAGCAAGGGGACTAAGTGGAGAGAGGAAGAGCAGTGAGGAAATTGTTTTTGAGGCCTAGAGAAAAGAAGACTCATGGTAATTACTCTCCAAACAATTATCTTGGCTATTGCCTGCAATAACTGGGAAGTTAGACAATATATCTGTGAACTTTGGAGTCTGGCTAAAGGGCTTTCCAAGCAAACATTTGACAGTGCTATTTGTCATCTTTCAGCCACAGACAGCATGGTATCTTAAGAGAGAGATGAGCTAAAGGAAGATTTTCAAGCAGAATTTAGAGAATACATTTCCAACCGAGGACTTGCTGAGTTGGAAAACAAAAGTTTCTCAGTTACTTCATCTCCAGCTGGCAAAAGATTCTCAAAGTAAGATAGTGTCTCAAGGAATAAAACCAAATTCAGAGTGCTGCCTGCAGGTCAAGATCAAATCAAGAGTGTAGCTCTGAGATACATTGTTAAGACCTCAGAAAGAGTTCAAATTGTGTCAAATAGTCTCAGCTAGACAAACATTATAAGGATCATAAAGGTATTGTCCTGGCACCCTAACTCTTATCCCATGCCAGAAAAAGTGCTGCATATAAAAATATTTGTGGGTATATCTTTTATTCAAAGGGATGAGATTATAATTTGATACATAGAAATCTCACAAAATATTTTTAAGCATTGCAGTCTCTTGGAATAAAAGGAACAGTAATATTTCAACCAATATCTGGAACACTTTGCTTTATTTTAAATTTCTTTTCAGCCTATTGTTATGCTACACAGTTTAATATTATATTCAAATAATAACAAGAAGAAAGATATTATACCTAATATTTATTGAGTGCTTTTTAAACACCAAGCATTGTGCTAAGGATATTTCACAAGAATATCCAATTACTCCTCAAAACCAACCTCTATTTTTAAATGGTTAAAACATTTTGATTCACATCTAGATTTTTATCCCAAGAACTTCATCAGAAATGGAGATATGTATGTGATGATACTGAAAGCAGCATGATTTATAAGAGGACAATAAAGAAGGAACATCAGTGTCTAATGAGAGAGGAAAGGTAAATTAAGAATTTTTCATATAATGGCTAGTAATTAAGCATTATGAGTTAATATAATTATTACTTTAATTTTAAAGGTAAGAAAACTAAAGATCAGTGAGGCAGAGTTGTACAAAGTCACATAGAATTTGGCAGATCCAAGATTTCAGTCTTGGTATATGACTTCAGAGGCCCCACTGTCAAACATTACAATATCCTTCCCACACTGGATCAAATTACAATTCATAGAAGAAAATACTATAATAGCTTTTGGACTGGAAAACTTCATCCTGCAATAGAACACATCCCACTTTTTACAAGATTTGGATGGGGACCTAGACTCACAGGTGACACGCACTGGGGTCTGGGCATACACCTGGAGGCAAAGACTATGGGCTTCTCACTCCTCCTTAGCCAGATAGTGGATCCTTGGGTTCCAATTGCCACCACATTGCCTGTCTTGGTTCCAGTGAGCTTTATCTGGGTTCCAGATGACAGAGAGAACAGATCACAGGAGGGCACATTTTATGAGAAGGAGCTTTCATAAAACCTAAGGAGGCCTGCTGGTTTGTGCTGTACAAGGCAGAGCTTTCACTGCACTATCTTATAGATGAGCTTTTACCACAAACTTGCTTTATAATTTTAAATAAATGCCTATAGACTTTTCCTTTGTCAAAAAATAGAAGAAATAGAAAAAATGATGAAACTATAAAAAATATACATTAATGAAGAGCAATAGCTGAGATCTGAAGCATGTACAAAAGTAAAAAAAATCCCCTAAGTTATGGTTCCCATAGCAACTGCAACACAGTTGGATTTCACTTTTATGTTAAGTAAGTTTAACTTGAGTGGGAATGCAAAATACTTCCTCTGAGCCAAAAAGAGAAGTATGGAGAACACAGAGACGATGGTCCAGAATATTCTAGCTTTCAAGTATGTGAAATATTAGCCCCAATGTGTATTAATATTTTCATATCAATAGTATATGTTGACTTGTATTAACTTTAAATTATTATTATTCAATTTATAAAACATAATTATTTAAAAAGATAAAAAAATTCCCATGAAAATCTGTTATATCAGAGACTGTATCATTTAGAAATATAGGAGCACAGTTCTGCTTATAAGAGAATATTTGCTGAAAGTATAATTTATGAAAATACAATCTGACTACATTCATTATCAAGGGCTTGAAAACTGGAAATTTTTAACTACTGTCAATGTAATCTAAAACTGTGAAAATAAACACATAGCACTTAAGAGAGGGTATACATATCCTTAAGACTGGGCATACACATAATTTTTCAAGACATTTTTAGTTGGTACAACTTTCTCTGTTTCAATAAGATTTTTTTTAAAAGGCAGGAAGGGTACTTACTCCTGTTATGTAACGAGGTCTATATTGAATAGTTCCAAATAAACCAAGAATGACGATAATAATATGTACAAAATTTGCCAGGATAGGTGCCCACTGATATCCAAGGAAATCAAATATTTGTCTCTCCAGCACACAAACCTAGAATAGCAAACAGGATGGATAGATCAGCACATGTCAGAAACAGCATAGTAGTGAGTGAAAAAAAGGATCACATTGAAGTTATAATTAGCAATTATAACTGTGTTATCATATCTGGCATTTGTCTTTAACAGTGAGAATGACATTTTCAGGTGTATTTCAAAGGAAGACCATGGAAGCTGTGCATCCACAGATGGCTACAACCTTTCAGGGATGATTTTGTGAAGGAAGCAAGCAGTATTCACAGGATGTCATCTGTGCAGTCACGGGATAAATTATATTGTCATGTACACTGTCAAAAGCCGAAGTCATCACCCAGCAAGTTAGGGAAGCCCATGAGAAAAGCTTGTTGTTAGGATGTGGTCTAATGGCATTATATAAATTGGGAATAGAACAAAGGAAGTTTGATTCGGAGGCAAAAGAACTCTTTAGTAAGAGTTCTAGCAAACATTTTTTAGCAAGACACCTGAATTCTGGACATAGATCTGCAACTAAGCAGCTATAGTGGCCTACATAAGTCATTTCCCTTCTCTAGGTGTCTGATTTTTCATTTGTAAAATTCAGGACTTCGGCTAGGTGTGTAGGGTCTTTCTAGCTATAATAGTGTTGGATTACTGATCAAGTGTGACTTTTTCATATTTGATTCATACCCAGTTGCCTATAGTAATCAGGTAAAAGAAAAGCTCTGAAACAAAATTAGAAGAATAGAAAACAAATACAAAAATAAAGCATCACTTATAAAGCAAGACATTTCAAACTATGCTACTTTCATCTGTGCTCACAACTTTATAATTAAGACATATGTAAAAATCTCAGTGGGGAGAGGAGAAAAAGAAAAAGCAACCAACCAAATGACAACAAACTGAGACTGGTGGTAATCCAGAAGGGCCATTTGATATTGAAAAGTGAAATGTGGAGAGCTGGCAAGTCTCTCATCAGATCTAACAAAGCAAAACAGCCTGTTGGCTTCATTCTTCCTGCCTACCCTCAGATAGAATAATAATAAACTGTCTGTTCAGAGAAAAACATTTTGAAAGGACTTGATGTTCCACACCAAGATTCAATATCGTTTCCATCCAGGTATTCAAGGAAAATGATGATTTGAAAACCCCCTAAGTTTCTAACATCAGCATGCTTTGTTGATATTTCTTGTCAGAAGGAAATACTGACTCTCGAAACAGGCAGTGTGCTTTTAAATTAAATACCTATATCTCAATTTGCAGACTTCTTGAATGATCATTATTCCCACTGCAATTCTTTAGTTGAGCAGCATGTTTCCCCATCAGGCATTAAAAAAGAAAATAAATTCATGACAACTGTTTTGTATAGCACCTCTATTTTCTAAGACACACTAGATACCATGTAACTGCTGTAACAGTTACAATTCAACTTGGTCAAATCTTAATTTTTACCTATTTTGGTAGAGATTTAAAAAAAATAAATAAAATCTTGGTCTGCTCTACCTTGTGTATGCTAAATCCAAGATATTTACCCGTGTCCCAATAGGGGAATGCAATATTGTGATTGGTTAATACATACAGACTATCATAGAACTAGAACATAACCCAAGTCTTACAAATCTTGATCTGCCTTCTGATGAAATATTCCTTCGACTATTTCATAAAATCAACACTTCAAATAAACAAGACCCATTTGTGACATTGGGCAGTATTACATATGTCTTGTTGGAATCCATGAATGGTACCAAAAACTAAGCAGTTGTTATGAGGGCACCATTGCCAATCATCCATATAGAAGCTATTTCAACACAGAACTTTCTTCTCCTTACTCTATGAATAAACAGTAAGTAGCAACATAAAACAACAGCAAGAAAAAAATCTAAACTCTATAAATTTTGAGTGTCACTACTGTGGAGACACAGCAGGGAAAAAGTATAGAGGATTTAGTACATCAGTCAAACAGTGGGAAATATCTTAAAAAATGCACCAATTATGGAGGAAAATAGCAGTCCCATTGTTAATTATAAAAAAATATAGATGATAATATACTCACTAAGTCTGCAAGACTAAAGTGAAATTATATCAACATTTATCAGGCTTTTTTATGACAGAGCTAATAGATTCTTATTTACAAGATTATACAGACTGAATAAATTAATGTGTAATTTTTCATATCTAATATTTCTGTCTTTTCCACTTTCTGATTGGTCTTATTAGGCATCATAAGTAGTTTTATCATAGGTTCTGCAACTTGGAGCTAGGCCTGAAGAATGAAAGATTTTCTCAAATATTTAGTGAGTAGAAGTGGAGAAACAATTTGTAGGAGTAGTTGTGATCTTTCCTAATAATTCCTTCCAGTAGGGGGAGTATTAACTATAAAGGGACTGTTTGGTGGTGGTGGTGGTGGGGATGAGAAGTACAAATATATTTTAAAACACCTACTGTGTGCTGGGCATTTATACTGTTCTCTAGCCATGCTTTATTTCATTGATTCTGCACAAAACCCAGGGAGGTAAATATGATTATCCCATTTTGCAAATAAAGGAATCTGAGATGTAGTGTGCTAAGTGGTTATCTTGAGGTTGCAAAAGTGGTAAATGGTAGAACAAGAAGTCATGTCTTTGGGCATGGTCTCTAAGCTATGTCTCTACTTTGTCCATTTACTCTACCCTTAGTAAAACAAAAAGCTTTCATAGGTTATGCTGTAGGAACTATACTGGTTACAGGATATATACTACTTTTTTACCTTATTTATTTATTTTGGAATAGTATAGAGAATCTCTTTGATCACACTTGTCAGTCCATGACATTATATCATCATTGATTTGTTTATTCTACTTTTTGCCTCCTTCAATCCATGTTCCCAGTGTTACTCTGGTTTTGCCCACAGGACCTTCTTTAATGTATTTACCTTATGCCCTTCTAATTGTCTGACATGTAAAAATATGTATATAGCCTTAAAAAACATATTTCTGATGTTTATATGGTGTGTTATTTTCATATAAGACTTATGGTATAAGTCTCGTTTATGCTTATCTATTTTATTATTTATACATTTTGGTTCCTTGTGTTTGACTTCTACAGAGTAGACCATTATAAATGCATAACTTGGTTGTTGTCAATTCTTTGCTGCCACAAAGAATTCTGTTCCCATTAATTACTATTTTTATGAATTTTTAATTTATAACATAAATAGCAGCTAATCGTTATCAATTACTATTTCTGCATCTACTGAGATGATTATATTCTTTCTTTTAAATCATGAATGTGATTGATTATATTAATATCCTTTGTTTATCCTTCTGTACCTGTTAAAATCCCTACTTGGGATGGTATATTATTTTTAGCACATTCTTAGTTTGGGTTAAATTTTATTTAAAATAATTAAATGAAACAAAATTTTATTTGGGATTTTTGTATCTATAAACTAACCTCTAATTCAATATGGTCTTTCTTAATCTTACACTGTTACATATGTTGCACTGGCCTCAACTGATAACTAAGGCACAAACTTTATTTAAACACTGTAACAAACTTTCAGGAAACCATCAAGTCCCATACTCTGTCCCCAAAGGCAACCTGTATAAATTTGGGGAACTTAGCTGTTCAGTAAAATATCATAAGTAGATGCCAGCATATGAGCATGTATCTGTCATATATGTGTAAAATCTTTTCAAGTCATTTTTATTTACATAAATGGGATTGTAATGTAGATATGTCTTTTCATCTTACATTTCTCATTTAATGATGTGTCATGCGGTTTATCTACATTAGCACACCCTGCCTTAATAGATCTACCTCATTATATCCTTTTAAAAGCATTCCATTTTAACAGACTGTTAATTTGTTTACAATTTTTGGCTGTAACACCCATGAGAACATTAAATGATCATGTATTTCTATGTTAATATAACCATAGGCTAAATTTTTCAAAATGGAAATGCTGGGCTAATTCTGGTTACAAAATCCTAAATGTTATAATGGGTATTATTGGTTCTTCTTTAATATATATGTATGAACTGGAAAACATAAAAATTTCCCTTTTCTTTACACTATAATAAAAATGAATTTTAATAGTCATTGATTAATATAGAATATGCTTTATCTGAAAAAGTCTTAAAACCTTTCTGATAAGTGCTATCAAGGAAAAAATGTTAGTTTCAATGATAATTAATGTTCATCAGAAGCATTGGCGAAATATCTTCCAGATAAATACATTTATTGACTTTTTAGATCGGAAGATATTCACTCCATGCTCCTGAATGTACATGTGAAAAACTGGGCCCAGTTAAGTTAATAATTTGTTAAGCTAAATTTGACCTCCTGAGAGTATTCAGTCTGATAGAAGTTTGCTTCAAATGTTTTCACGGCGAATAGGAAACCTTCATATTGTCTAGGTGTCTGTTGCCATTCAACTTTAACAACAAAGAAATTACTGGTACCTGAGCATATTAATTTTTAAAAAGCTAGAATGCTATGTTTTCACAACTAGTAGGACTTGGGGTTTGTCACCTTTCAACATTGTCTTGGTAATAACTCAAATTTCTTGATCATTTTTTCTTTCAAATATTACTACAATCTTCTTGTGTCATTAAAACATAACTCATGAGTAAAATGAATAAAAAAATAAAACTTATATAGAGCCTTTGGGAGGAAAAAATAGGCTTTTGATTCTGTCATGATGAAACACATGTTCTTTGATTTGTTTTAAAAAATTGTGTTATTAGAGGCTGAAAACAACCAAATTAAATTTCTAGTGTTAAATTATATCAATTGAAATTAAACTTATCTATGGACACCCCTGTTCTCTCTGTGCCTTCTACCCTTTCGGTGTCTCCAGACCCCTTTAGGATTCTGAGATTTCAGATTTTCTCAACTCTAAAGTCTCTGAGGAAAGATACAAGAATAGACTTAGATTCTGATGGTAGGCAGTGGAATGCTTCCATCCAAAGTATATTTGCATTGACAAAGTGGACTTTAGGGAAATGACAAAAACTTGTCAAAACTTAATAAAATTTTAATAGTCAATAGAGAATGATA